ATCATAAAAAAAATGCATGTGCATATGTCCCATATAATGTGTGATGTATGAGTAAGTTTGAACTTAATCGGTCCATGCATGTTCGAGATACAGGTGATCACGGACGGACGGACGCACACAGGGCAAACCATAAGTCCCCGTTTTCGGACTACGTCCGAACGGGGACTAATGAAAGTGTGTCAAAGTGGCACCTAATTGAAGACAAATACGGTATGTACCTATACAAAGATGACAGCAGAGCTAAAAAGTTTTCTTAAAAACATAATACAGTCAGTATTGTAACACACACAGCTGTGCATATCAGTGAAACATTTGTATACTTACCTGTACATTAATATGTACAGTGCCAGGACATGTTGATCCTTGGATATAATATAATTCATAATCATCACCACCCGGATCAACACATCCAGATATAGCATCAGTGAAGGCTTGTTCAATGTCTGTCATTTTATACATACACACTGCAGATTGTTGTAATGGTGTTAAATCCTGTGGTGTTTCTCCTTTGGCAAACACAGCAAATAGTACATGTTCACCGTCCTCCAGTGATAGTGACGTAACTAGATCTGATGCTGGTCTCATGACATGGGCTGCTTGTAGTAGATTATATGACGTACTATCACGACCATCACACTGTAAAGTTACTTCAGTGTATGACTGGTAGTAGTTGTCATCTCTCTCTTGACATACACGAACAATCCTAGTTATATATGAATTATCAGATCTATACAATTTTTGTACAACCAGAAAGTAACTAAATCCATCATAGCTAAAACCTTGAATATAAATCACAAAGTACTCTCCATGATAAATTGAACTTATCCCTACAGCAGTTTGCTTATATTGAGATTCGAAAATTGTATGAAACAAAGCTTCTTCAAGTTGCCTTCCACTAACAGCTTCAACCCCATCATAGACCAATCCTCGTTTTGATGTACCAACATACAACATAGGTTTATCATCATAACCTGGTGCTACAAATCCCACAGTAGAGTCTTCCACATTTGGTGCAGCAACATATTTATCACTATCACCTAACACTGATAAATCAGTCAAGTTTCTAATCTGACACCATCCCTTGTCACTGCCACATGTAACCAGATTGTTGTCATTATAGTTAATCGATAATATCTTATTATAGTTATCAGTTTCATCATCAGGTTTAGTTGTTATATTGGAGATGAGTAGTAAATCTTCATCTAGTCTGTGGATGTAATCAACACCACCAATGTATACATCACCAGTGATGTCATGTACAGTCATGTGATTAAATTCCAGAGAATCCAGAGTAAAATTTGCAACTTCGGCATAATTATTGACGAATGAGAAGATGAGTATCAGAAGAGAGAAAGTATACTGACTGGACATCGTTTCAAATGATAATTGGTACTTCATTTCCGACACTGAAAACTATCACCTGTAAGGAAAAACAGATTAAATTTATTGATTTTAAAAATGATATGACAATGCTACAAATGTCAAGCATGTGGCAATCCACAATAGTTTGACTCTCAGTGCAAAACATAATATGTCATAAACTCATTGTTAACTTGAGGACATAAAATGGAAGAGGATATTAAGTGACTTTCAACAAAACCAAATTAGCATGCATATTAAATCCATAACATGTACATGTATGTCTTGTCTTTGTACCAAATTTTAAACAAAATTGGTCTACCTGAGAAACAAGGACACATGGGTAAAATGATTACTAGTCCTCCATTTTGAACCAAACTAACATACATCAAAGTTAAACTGTAAATAGCTCCCGTGTGATCAGAGCATGTATTATAAAGGTATAGGCTTTGCCTAATATTAAAGTGAATGTAATTGCATGTAGGTCAATCCATCAATAACATTGATCAAGATGTCTGAGAATCTATGACATACTGTATATGGAAACACATGATTTTGATATGGGCATTTTGAAAAACATGCAAGGACACTATACTTGTAAACAAAGGGCACTAATGAGGCACTCTGATGAA